TTATGAGTAGGTCTCACTCATGCTAGGCAGCTCCCATGGGATAGGAGAGGGATGGGACCACTGGCTGGGACCTAAGTATCTTCAGGCTATCCCTGTACTCACCTTGGCCATTAGTCAGGCACTCTGGTTTTCAAGCAACTGTAGGGCATGAGCCTGTATCGGGGCTGGCAGGTCATGGGAGCTGCACAAAGCTGGCTTGAGGGAACATTTTGCGCAAGACATTTCCCAAGTTCTGGTGAGATTGTGCCACAGCCCTGCAGCCCCTGGCTGCACTCCCATGCTCTTCCCACATCGTGTTATAAAAGTCACTGCACCCTCCAGCCACCAGCTAGCTCTTCCCAGGTCTGGTGCCTCTGAGTGTCGTCGGCATGGCATTGCACATGGTTCTTGTCATGTTGAGCCTCCTGCCGCTGTTGGAAGCTCAGAACCCAGAACACACCAACATCACCATAGGCACACCTATCACCAATGAGACCCTGAGCTGGGTGAGTGCCTGCCCGGGGCCTGGACCTGAGTACGTAGGTGGCTACTTTTTCCTCTGGGCTTTCCCTTCCTTGATGTCTATGTTCATCTCTGGGCTCCTGGTACTGCCCTCCCCTCTCCTGGAGACTCTGGTGGCATCCCCCTGCCTCCAAATCCAGAAGCATCACTCTGAGGTCTCTCAGCAGGGGATGGGGCAGTAGGATGGCTGATTTTTGAGTTGCCCATGGGATCCAGGCTGGAGCTTCAGTCTTCCCACATAGCTCAGAAGCCATTGCTTGCCTGGTCATCACTGCTGACTGCCCAGGTCTACACTAGGAGCCCTGCTCATCTGTGTGTCTGCTTCTCCCCAGCTCTCTGACAAATGGTTTTTCATGGGCGCGGCTTTCCGAAACCTCAAGTACAGGCAGGAAATACAAACAATGCAGACGGTATTTTTTTACCTTGACTCCAACTTGATAAATGACACGATAGAGCTTCGGGAGTTTCAGACCATGTGAGTTCTTGCAGCAGCCAGCCCACCCCAGCCCTGGCCTCCATTCCCGGATGCCTAGAGACTTGAGCAAACTGCCTCTCCCTGGCCTCCCCACCCACCTTCAGGAATGGGGCAGCTGCCTTGTCTATCTCTTGCCCACTCCCCACCCCGGGCTGGTCAGATCACCTCTCTCTCAGTTGCCCTCTTTGCTTTTTAGAGATGACCAGTGTGTCTATAACTCCACCCAACTGAGATACCAGAGAGAGAATGGGACCCTGTCCAAGTATGGTGAGGATGTGAACTCGTTGCTTTCTGGGGGTGGGGGATTGCAAGATCTGAGGGGAAAGCAGAACAGGGCGGTTAGGTATGTTACGTCACTCTTTGAGGCTTGTTGGTAGAAGCAGATTTCAAACCAGAGTCCAGCTCCCAGGCCAGTCTCACTTTTAGCTGTTCTTTATGATCCTTTGTGAGCTCAGAGTGGGAAGCCATGCGTTGGGAAGCCAGTGACTTCAGTCACACCCCCACGTCACCAGGGAGAGCACACTGGAAGGCAACACAGTGCCAGTGGGCCAGATCAGACACTCTTAGCTTTAAATCATCCACCTGAGGGGATGCTTCAATGTTTAAGAGGAAGTTTTAACTGTGCCCCACCACCCCACAATCAAGGGCCCTCTCCAAGGGCCTAGCCGTTCTGTATCTATGAAGAGTGAAGTGTGAGGCTGGCATCCAACAGAGACTCAGCACATGGCAGCCCCAGGGAGCCCCAGACATTTGTCCACAGCTGTGTGCTTCCTCACCTAGGGGATGGGGACCACAGCACCATTCTAGTGACTCACAAAGCCCTTCCTCCTTCCAGCACAAGGAGTAGAAATCTTTGCCCACCTGATAGCGCTGAAGAAACATGGGGCCTTCATGCTTGCCTTTGACCTGAAGGATGAGAAGAAACGGGGGCTGTCCCTCTACAGTAGGCTCCTCAGCCCTGGTCCCCAACTCCTTGATCCTCCACCCATATCCCTACCTTACCTCCCATCTGCTGGACCCTTACCCAGTGCACCCCATCCCCCTTCTCCCTTGCAGCTAAAAAGCCAGATATTGCCCCAGAGCTGCTGAAAGTATTCCAGAAGGCTGTCAAACATGTGGGCCTGGATGAATCAGAAATCCTATTTGTCGACTGGAAAAAGGTAAATGAAGAGGCTGAATGATATCACCCTGGTGGTGGTCCCATTTTCAGTGACCCTAGAGGTTCAGAGAGGGCAAGCTTCTGGTTAAGGCAGCACAGTGAGGCAGGTATCTTGCTGTTAAGAACTCTCCTGCGCACTGTTACAGCCGAGATTCGCAGAGATCATAGATAGGCAGTGAGCCTGAGGTGGGTAGGGTTAAGTAGGAGATCCTGGAAAGACTGTGGAGGATAAAGGGCAAGATCAGGAGGGGTGACTGAGGAAACAGCTGGTGCCAGGGTCCCAGGTTTCTCCCTGCCCTTCATTTTCACTACCTATCCAAGCAGGAGTTGTGATTGAAGTCTTCCATGCCTCACCAGCCCCAGCAAGCCCGATGGGTTTGATAGACCCACACAGGACCCACATAGTCATCTTGATGCTCTCTCTAAACTTATGCTGACGGAAAGGCTGTCTCAGCTTAGGTTTTCACCCAGCCAAGGTCAGAGGAGCAACCAATCCGCTTGCACTTAGTTTGAGAGACACTCAATACTTTTGTGACTCCGTTCTCTGGTCACCTGAGCCTTTCCTGGCATCACCAGTCCCCGGGTTCCCAGGGGGATTGTGCCTGTTTACAGACACCGCAGTTGAGCTGTCTCAAAGCCTGCCTTCCCCACCCCCAACCAGTGGGGACAGCCGAGTCACCCTGCACCTGTGGACAGAAGTGTTCAGAAAATGCCTCCGTTTGGGGGACCCTGCTCCCATTCAGTGGGGTGAATAAGCTCAAGCTTAGAGATGGGGAATGACTTGCCCTAGACTGGTGGTTTTCAAGAGTGGATGCAACCCATATGTCAGATATCCTGCACGTCAGATATTTATAACAGTAGCAAAATTACAGTTATGAAGTAGCAATGAAAACATGGTTGAGGGTTGAGAACCATTGTTCTAGACACTCCAGTGGAGCCATGGTAGATCTAAGATACAGCTGGCTGACACTACCCTGCCTTTTCTAGTCAACCATTGTGCTTCCCCCTATCTTAGAAATGTATTTATCACTAGTGTGTGTGTGCATGCGCACACGTAGTGTGCCTGTGTGTGAGTGTGTGTTCACCAGCATGCCATAGGATGTGTGTGGGTGTCAGAGGACAACTGTGGGCCATGTCCTCCTCAGCCATTCTCTCATGGGCTCTGGGGATTGAATTCAAGCTGCCCTTCAGGCTTAGCTGCCTTGCCAGGTTTTTTAGTTCTGTTCTGTTTGTTCTGTTTTGTTTTTGTTTTTGCATCTCACCCTGCAGCCCAGGCTAACCTGCGGCTCATAGCAATCCTCTTGCCTCAATATACCCCAACCCAGATGTGTGCTGCCACACCGGGCTCAGTCACTCTGCTCTCTTCCCTGATCTCTTTTAGGATAGGTGCAGTCAGCAGCAGAAGCAGCAGCCTGAGCCGGAGGAGACCAAGAAGGATCCTTAGGAAGACCAGGCATGGACTCAGCTCTCTGAATTCCGTGGACTGTCCCCATTCCCACCCCACCCCCATCCCCCGTCCTGTGTTCTTTGATTCTGTCTCTGCCACAATAAAGGTTTGTTTAAACAGTCAATATCATTTCTTTGCTCCCTCCTTTCCTCTCTCTCTCCCTCTCTCCCTCCCTCCCTGCCTCCCTCCCTCCCTCCCCCTCCCTTCCTCCCTCCCTTCCTTCCTTCCTGGAGATGCCTGAGTAGAGCCTTAGCTAAGTCCAATAAACCCTGCCCAGGGAATCTGAGAGGGCTTCCTGGAAGGGGCATCTGAGTCAGGCTAGAAGGAATCGATAGAACCTGGTGCTCTCGCTATAACCCCCAATCCCTAGCGAGCACATCTGAGGAAGACAAGGGAGAAGACCCAAGCAGCAGTGAGTGGGGGTGAGGAATCCAGGTGTGCAGCTCCTGTCCCAGGGGCCTTCACTTCAGAAGTGCCATTCTAATCACTGGAAGGGCGGTGAGCTGGGAGACAGTCAGGTGCATGTCCATGCTAACATGGTCACAGTATAAAAGGCCAAGGGGAGGTGGCGCAGTAGACTTAGGCCTAGGCTAGAGGGCCTGGATGTCCCCAGGAAGAGTCCTCAGGGTGCCCACAGGAGACACTGGGAGATGATGGTGTTTCCCTAGAGGCCAGCTGACATCTCTTTCACAATCGTGACCCGAGTTCCTGAGGCACAGTCCACTCGGTGGTCAACACAGGGTCTGAGACAATCTTTACACTTGACTGGACTGGCAGTCACCTAGGGGGTGTACTCTATGTGTGTCTATGAGGACATTTCCAGACAGAGTCACCTGCCCCGACTGTAGGCAGCACCATTCCTCGTGCTGGGGTCCCCACTTAACAAAAAGGAGAAAATGAGCTGGTCACCCACAGTTCATCCGTCTGCTATGCTATCCGACAGCTTATGGCTGTCTCAATTGAACGCAGTATGACATGGGGGACGGTGTCCCTCCTCACCCAGGAGCCCTCCTTTAGTAGCTTTTGTGAACTATTTTGTCACAGAATCGGGGAAAGCACCTGATGCAGACCTCTGCACTGGGGGCAGAGTGGATCGCAACGCTGCCACGTGCATGCCCAGAGTCAAGCTGGCCACAAGCACAGGGTGCTCTCTGCTCTGCCTTGGGGCTCGGGCAGACACTCTCCTGTTGAGTGTCTCTCATCATTTCTGGCCTGGGGATTCATGTCGGGCCTTGCTCATCTGGCCTCTCTAGGCAAAGGACAGGAAAAGCAGGGAAGACAGATGCCAGCAGAAGGGTGGGCAGATTCTGGAATGATTTGCAGCGAGTACCTTGAGGAAGACCTTAGCTGGTGTCCACTTCCCTGCCCGAACCCTAATCTTTAGAAACCACAGGCTCCCGATACACAGCAGACTCAGGTAGCTTTGGGGATTTCTTTGCCCTTTCTTAAGTTCATTATTTATTTTCCTTCATTTACTTTTATAACAAAAATAGATTTTTAAATGCCTCAAATATATACACAATATGTGATAACACACACACACACACACACACACACACACCAGAAATGTTGAGGTCACTCTGCTATGGGATGGGGAAAGGGGTGCTGGCCTAGTCTTTCAGCCCCAGGCCAGGACCTGGCAGGGAACTCAGTCCTCTAGTAGATGCTAACAAAATCCAAAAGCATAGTGGGAAAGTCTGAGGCTGCTGGGTGCTTCCTGGCCTCTACTCTGTGGGCTCATGGGGAAAACTTCTGTAACCACAGAAGAGCTGGGCGTGTGTCATCTGAGGCCTCTGTCCCAAGACATTTACGGGTCCCCATGTACTATCCCTGCCCACTAGTTACTAGGAACAAAATCCCTAGCTAGCACTCCCTGACAATGCCTGCCTCAGAGTGGCTATTCCAGGCAGTGACCAAAATGCTTCAGAGACCCCAGCCTTTTCTTGTCTTCTCTGGCCTTCTGAGACAGGTCCAAGCTCAGGTTAGCTCCCCAGTGTAAAGACATTCTGTCCAGTAAGAGCCATATTGATAGCTGCAGAAGCTCATGGACAGGAGGGGGACAGTGAGGAGAGTCTCAGAGGCTCTGACTCGACAGAGGGAGCTATGGTCACTACACCTGTTAGACAGAGCTGGTCCCCTGGACACTCATCCACTCCTGACCAGGCCAATGTCTCTCCATTTTAAATATGCCACATGGACCAGGCAGGTGGCACTCCTGGGGAGGGGAGCATGACATCTTCCAGCCATCAGTGGTACCAGAAGACTGCTGACTGGGAAACAACAGCTGCTGCCTGCCTCCATGGAGTCAGAAAAGGCAGGAGCCTCGCAGGCTCCGGGCATGACGCAGATCTGCAGACAGGGAGCGGCTCAGCTGACGGGTGGTGGAGCGGACGCTCTCAGCGGCCAGGGCAGCCTCTCTGAGTGCGGCCTGCAACTCCTCCAAGTCATTCAGACCCAGCTGGACAGAGCGCCGGGTTCTCCGAGGTCCCCGAGCAGGCTGTGGGGAAGTTGTCTGGGCTGAGGTAGGTGCTGGGGTTGCATAGTACCTGAGGAGAGAAGGAAGAGCATATGATATGGTAAGAGTCAGGCAAAGCCGTGGGCTATGGGTTCCACGTCTACTGTACAACCTGCTGTTTCCTCTACTGTAAAAGGCCCGTGTGGAGAAACAACCTTGGGAGGATGAGGGAAAGTATATGTGTGAGTGCTTGCCCAGGAGCAGGTGCTAGGCATAGGTAGTTCACCCCATCCTCTGACATAGCAATCACTAACAGAGCACCCAGACCACCGTGTATGTGCACACTGTGGCTGCAATGGAAGTCAGAATCTGGAACATTCTCTGCAAGTGGCAGGTGCTGATGGAGGGTGCCAAAGTGAATGACTGGGCTTCCTGGAACACTCCCTCCTTGAGGGAGAACCTAGGCTCACTGTGGCTTCACTTGAAGCTCATAGGAGGGCCAGCTTGGCCTCTGAGTTCCAAGCTTTCCAGGGCAGATGCTGAAAGCATTGGATTAAAGCCTCAGTGAGCTGCAGGGCTGAATTTGGCCAGCAGGTGGCAGCACAGCACCACTGCAATTTCTAGTTCAACCATGGTGGCATGCTCAGCCCTGCTTGCAGTCCAGACAGGAGGAACCTGAGGTGGGGTTTACTCTAACAATAACTGAAGCCCTAAGGCTACTGGTCACCATTGATGAAGCACCGGCTTCCCATATATTCCTTCGTGTAATCATCTTGAGCATTTCCATTTCCCAGAAGAAGAAACAGGCCAGAGAGCCAAAGTGATCCACCCAAAGTCATTCTCCAATGGCTGGCCACTAAATTGTCCCTTCCTTGGGGCTACCACACCCTGGTGAGCTCATCCCCAGGCCCAGACTGTAAAGACTTGCCTTGAGAACAGTAAAGAACCCTGAGGCTCCCATAAGGCTGCTAAACGGCACCAAACCTCCCTGCCCAAGGACAGGAAACATGGGCAGGTACCCACACCACGTGAGCCAGGGTCCGGACGTGAAGCAAGCCTGCTCCTGAGGACCCACCGAGACTCAAGCAAGAAGGCAGAAGAAATGTACCTCAGGCCTGGCCCCTCATGTCTACTGGTGCCTTGGGCTTCTCTTCCTGCTGGCATCAGCTGCTATAGAGACAACTACCACCCCGCTAACCACAGAGATAGACTATCTATTGGTAACATTGCATCCCAACAGATCCACTTTACAGTGGAGGAAACTGAGGCTGAGAAGTAGCTGGTGACAGTTGAGACTAGAAAGGGGTTCGGGGAGATGGCTATGGTTCCATTTAGTCAGTCATGACACTTTCAGGAGTCACAACGCAGACTCCACAGATATCCTAGTGGGGTCCTGACAGTGTCTCACTTAATCCCCACATATGAGGACCTAGCAGAGCCACTCCCCCATTGAACAGATAGAGAAACCGAGGCTTAAAGAAGCAGTCTTCTGCCTCAGCCAGAGCAGTCATAAGAAAGGGGATTCTTGTACAGCCATCACTGAAATGTCACCAGACTGCCAGGTCCACTCTCCACCTCTTGGTAGGTGGTGCCCAAGCCCAAATCCATCTAGCTGGTACTCGCTGCATGCCAAAGCCACAGAGACAGGGCAATATGGAGCAGCTGCCACTGCCAAGAGGAGCCCAAGTTGCCAATGAAATGTCGGGGATCCTGGATGGTGCCCCGAAATAGAAAGGGTATCAGACATCAATCAAGGATGCCTGAGGAAAACAGCAAGCTTCGGTCAATACTAAAGCGTTCTAGTTGGTTTTCTCCTAGCGACAGGTTTGCATCTGAATGCAGACCTGGGAATAGGCTGTGGGGGAGGTGTAGTGCATGGGAAAACTGTGAGCTATGCACTCAATTACCCAAAACCATTCCACCAATGAGAGTCAATTGAAAAAAAGAAGGGAGAAGAAATAGAAACTATGCTTACCTTATACGCACACACGCACATATACATACACACACACATATACATACACACACACATACATACATACATACACACACACACACACACACATATACACACGCAGCTTATTACTGGCTTACTCACTAGGAAAGATGGCTTAGGGTTCTAGGTCCTCAGGAAGCTGTAACTACAGAGACAGGGCCTTCTTGCTAGTCTAGTTTACCACTGAGTCCCCAAGCACCCAGCAGTCTGCTCCCCCCCCCCATAAGAGTTTGTTGAGTGATTACAAGAATGTCAGGCTTGTATTCCATTTTCCATATGGATACATTACAGGAAGGCACTACCTCTGGCTCGCAGCCCCCTGACATGATGTAAGAATGCTGATTTTTGCAGGTACTCAGGTAGCATGGGGCAGCTGGAAGGAAGACTCACACAGTGGGTGGTGGATAAGGCAAAACGGGAGCTGAGGAGATATAGGCCAAGGCTGGTGGGACTGGGGCTGGGGCTGCAGCGGCCAGGTACCAGAGTCCAGGGGGCATTCGAACTGGTGAGCCCGTCTGCCTGCTCTTCCGCTTGAGGCTGGGGGTGGAAGGTGCGGGTTTTTTGGGGGTGTTCTTCTCTGTAAGGGAAGGAAGGACACAGAGACATCGTGTGAGCACATGGGCAGAGGCAGCCAAGCATGGTGGGTCAGCCAGCCGCCCCTCCACTTGAGGCTGATGGGTAGTGGGGGGCCACCCTAGGGAGGGCATCTCTCTGGGATGCTGCTCCTCTGTTCCATTTATTTTGCTCTAGCCGAGCTTAGAGCATCCCTCAGGTCTGGCCACACCCATGACTAGAGGAAGATGCTGAGCGCTCATTCCTACCAGAGGGGCCTGAGCTGGAGCCATCTGCTTCTGCAGATGACTTGACTTCACCACAGAGGGAACAGCGGAGGGTGTCAGCACCAGATGATCCCGGTGGCTCTTTATAGACAGCACTGCCTGGAAAAAAAGAGAGAGGGGGAGGGAGGTCTGCAAACAATGACTGGCACCTCTATTATCAGACCTGGGTCCCCTGCAGAGACCACCCAGGCCGCCTGCTGGAGGACACGGTGCACAGTAACCATGATGGCAGGCTCTGACCACATGCTAGCCGCTAACGACTTCATGTATCACGCCACAATGCAGCTCACTGGGCTAGCTTCCCTCGAGGAAACGGAGGCTTCAAGAGGCAGTACTTTGCCAAGAGAAGTTGCCATCTGATCTCAAGCCCGGATCCTCCAGATGACAGGCCCACTTTGGCTTTGAGACAGCCTGGGCCCTCCAGATGACAGGCCCACTTTGGCTTTGAGACAGCCTTAGTGTATTCACGGGAGCTCAGAACAGGGAAACCTGGGTCAGTGGAGTGTCAAAGGGACAGTTCACAGCAGGGATCATGGGATCACTTGCTGTAGATACTCAGTGTCACTCCTGCCTGGGCATCAAACTTGTCCACTTGCTTTCCAGGCCAAACTCAGCCAGCACATCCTCTGGGAACCTCTCACACCCTTGGTCTGTGTTTGCCCTGACCACTGCTTTGATGCAGGCTCCTTGGAAACAATGTTGGTAGGCACTGAGCAAGAAAGTGAATGAGTGAATTGGAAAGTCTGTCAGGACATCAATCCATGGTGATGAGGGGCCAGTGCTCTAGAGCATAAAGACCTGAGTTCAAATACTAGCTCTACCACTTGCAAGCTGTGTGCCCTTGAGCAAGTTAGTCTCCTGTCATACAACAGTCCAAAAAGCCTCAGCTGAACAAAATTCGGTCTCTTACCTGTGTCCTGGGTCCTAATGGGCTGGCAGTGGGGACAGGAGGCTGTACCACTGTCCTTCAGGACGGCCTTTGGGGACAGAATGTGGTACTCCTGGCCTGGAGGAGAATCCAGAAAGATTAGTGTCAAGACCTGTGTGGACTCGGGACTGGCTTAATTGTCTCTTTTCTCTTTCAGTGGTTTTGCTAGTTGCTTTCTGCCTATCTCCTGTGCACATGTGAAGGCACACCCCACAGATGTACCCATTGCACATGTGTGTGCACATATACACAGAACACAGATGCCTGTTTACTGCTGCCCTCTGCTGGGTCCTTGTTCCATCTCTGCTTCTACAAGTAGCTGCCAGTTCTTGCCTCATGAAAGCGACTAGGGCATGCAGCAGAGGCAGGATGCGGAAACTGGTGAGGCAGAAATATCATGACTAGAGTCATGAGTTAGGAGTCATCGCTGTCCCTTCCTGCCCCAGGCTCAGTTGAGGGATCAGCAGTGTCTCTCCTTGGGACACTAAACAGCGGGAAAGGGGGACATCATAGGGCAAATTTCTGGAATGGTGGCAAGGACAGAACAGGTCTGTATTGGACACCCAATGGAAAGCTCTCAGCATTACTAGATATCTGGCTAGTTGCAGTGTGGTCTTGAGCTCCTGAAATCCCACTGGATAGAGGTGAATATGCTGAGTCTCCAGCCAGTTTGGGCTACTTAATAAAACAAACAAACAACCCAACAACAACAACCAAAACCGAAACAAACAAACAAAAAACCAAGGGCTGAGGCTAGAGAGACAACTCAGTCGCTAAGGATAAAGTCCTTACAACGCCCACGTGCAGACCAGAGCTTGCCTCCTCAGCACTCACATAAAAGGTGGGTGGGTACAGTGACCTCCTGTAATTCGACCACTCAGGAGGCTGAGCATCAGCCGGAGAGATGGACACCCAGGGCAAGACAGCCACCTGAGCCACCTGAATTGGTGAGATTCAGGTTCAGTCAGAGATCTTGTCTACCGGCTGGTTGGTTTTGTGGTTTCTTGACAAGAGCTAAAGTCATCAGAGAGGAAGGAGATTCAGCTGAGGAAATTCCTCCCTGAGATCTTTTTATAAGACATTTTCTTCATTAGTGACTGATGGGGGAGAGCCTAGGCCACGGTGGGTGGTGCTGTCCCTGGGCAGGTGGTCCTGGGTTCTCTAAGAAGCAGGCTGAGCAAGCCAAGAGGAGCAAGCCAGGAAGCAGCACCTCTCCACGGTCTCTGCATCAGCTCCTGCCTCCAGGATCTTGCCCTGCTTGAGTTCCTGTCCTGACCTTTCTTTTTTTACTTTTTTTTAATCCTTTTTGGGGGATGAATAGCCTTTTCTCCTCAACTTGCTTTTTGGTCAATAGAGGCCCAGACTAAGACACTGCTTCAGTAAATAAAGTAGAGCGTGATCAAGAAAGACAGCAGACACATGAGGACACATAAGTACATGCATCATGCTCACACGTGCCCATACACACAAACATGTTATATATATATATGTATATACATATATATATGTATATACATATATATCTGGTAAATTTAAGCCGAGGGCATGGGGCTCCGAGTGTTCGCTGAGTGTACACAAGCTCACCTGTGTACTGACCCCGGAAGGAGACTCTTTCCCTCCGCTTGGTGCTGCTGGGCGGTCTTGTCCCCCACTGTGCAGCCTGGGGATGCTCCTCCAAGGTTCTGCTCTTCTCAGATGGTAGCCGAGGAACAGATGACTCAGATTCAGAACCTGTGGTGGAAAGGAAGGCTCAGCAGGGGCAGGTGAGGGGCTCACCTGGAGGAGTGAGCATGGTGTGAGGGCAGGGCTCAGGGTGACGCTTGGGCTTCTGGTCTTGAGTCTTCCCAGGGGACTAAGGACACCTCCAGAATTTCAGCCTGGAGCCTTGTGGCTGTCACATGCCTTTGCAGCAACCCCAAAAGATGGATGCTGTTATTTTTATGTGGTTTGCTGTCACTTTATCTGCTCAGAGCAGGTGACAACCTGGCCAGGGACAAACTCCATGACGCTGCTCTGCCAGTGAGGAACCTGACTCTCCACTGCAGTGTCCCATTTGCAGTGGAGGTTGGTGACCATCTACACAAAGCCCTCAGTCCCATCCCTCATGGCAATGGCAGAATCTAAGGGTCTAGGACTAGAGATGTTCTTTGTCCTAGAGGACAACAATAGCTCCAAACATACATACAGAAGACCCTCTCCAGGCTTTTCTAGCTTCCCTAACCACAGAGCCAACTAGGATCCCTAGAAACCATCCCTGGTCACTGCTTTCTGGTCACTTACTTAGGAGCAGTCTGGGTACATCCCGAGGCACCGAGGAGGACCTGGCTCGCCGTCTTCCCATTGGCTCAGCTGGCTCTCTGCCATTAGGCTCCCCAGACAGCCTCTCTGTGGATTTACTAGCAACATGGAAGAGAGATATGACGTCACTAGGTGAGGTTTTGGAGGCAGCCTCCACAGATGACCTTGGCATATGTGCACCCCTGCCATAAACTAAATACATGTGAAAAAGAGAAGCATACGAATGGACCAATGACCATGTTGGAGGGAGGGGAGAGTGTAGTGTCTGAGTTCGTGTGCCCAGAGAGCCAAAGACTGGCTAACTCTATAGGAAACAGAGGTAGGAGTTGGCGTGGGGCTTCTACCTGCCGTAGTGGGAGCCCCAGGAGGGTGAGAAATTGACCAGCTTTCCCTGGGTCTGGGTGGAGTGGTTGAAAGCAGAAGCTACACAAGCTGGGCTGTCTGGGTGTGGCCGGTGCAGGCTGTCCTCCAGTTGTAGGCGGAGCCGTGACACCTCCGCCTGCAGATCCTTGATGGCCTGGCTGGAGTGGTAAAGAGACAGAAACAAGATCATGTGAGCAACGAAGAAAGCTATCGGGACGACAGTGTTTCCTGGGTGGGGTGGCTTGTGTCTGCAGATACAAGATCAGGCAGGCTGTTCCATCCAGGAACACCTTGACTTCTTTCTGTATTCATATTCCACACGCACATCTGGGGAATCTACCAGTGAGGGTGACCCTCCTAGCATGCAGGCTTAGCCCCTTAAGACAGCGACTAGGTACAGAATAGAAAACACTGAATCTGGGTTGGAAGCTGAAGTAGGAGGTCAAGGCCAGCCTGGGTGACATAGCAAGACCCTAGCACACAGAGCTGCCCTGCCTTCCCACCTCCTTTCAGAAGCTGTGTCTATTCTTACAGGTATTCCAACAGTCCGTGATTATGGTTATTCCCGGCGGAAAACATTTGTACCCTGCTTTTGCCTCCCCGGCCCTGAGCCACAGGCAGGGAAGATAAGCATCCCACCCCACAACCCCAGACACATCAGATACTGGGAAGCAGTCCTGAATTCAGGTTTTTGGAGGGAGAGAACCGAGGGTTCTAGGTAGACAAGGGAAACCCACATACTTCTGGGTGGAGTGAACAGGCCAGAAGATAAAGGTGTCAGCAAGGCTGCCTGGTAGACACAGGCCCACCTCCTGTCTACAGGGAGTAAAACTGTCTATTCTGGCCTGCTAGGCCCCTGCCTCACTAACTCTGAGTCCTATGGGCTTTGCTAGCATTGTCAAGGACAAACCAACCAACACCCCGACACAGACCGCACGTAGGGAGCACCACTGGAGGCTGGGCTTGGCATGGCCATCGTTCGGGCTGAGGTGGGCTCTGCAGCCATTCTGTGCGAGGTACCCTGGCTGGGGACTCCCCTCAGGATCCCTGGACTCTTGGTGCTCCATGCAAACATGGACTGTGTGGTAACTGCCCAGAAAGGCTTGGGGACTTCGCTCTGGTCATGTCCAAGCAAGCTGTGTGTGCACTGAGCATGGGTCTCCTTGGTGATCCCCAGGGAGATGCTTGCTGGGGTTTCCAAGGCAAAGCCCAGGGGCTGTGGTAGCTGCAGGAGAGGGAGATCTCCCAGCAACTGGTTAATCCCAGCTTGGCTTCCTAGCCTGGGACCTGGAAAACAGCCTGGGGTGTCATCTGTCCTCTGGATGGAGCTGTCCAGTTATTGAGCTTCCTGACTTAACACTTCAGTTGCCTGGGCACCAATGGCCACCGATCCCCACTGTCCACCAGCACAGCAACATGTCACCACAACAGCTCTCCTTTAAAAATGCCCCCCCTTTCCTGAGTCCAGCTTCACCTTTCCCCTGTTGAGGCATCCTTGCCCTCTACCCTGTGGCCTCTGTACTGACCCCAGTGGCAGCCAGCGAACTTATAAAGGCCAACAGTGACACGGCACCTTGCTACTTGAGGTCTGTCCTCAGGATGAGCCTTCACTTAGCTATACATTATTCTCTAAGCTAGTTTCTATCTCCTCCCCACTCTCTCCCTTCTACACACACACACACACACACACATGCACACACACACACACACACACACACACAGGCACGCACGCACAGGCACAAGCACACATGCACACGTATGAGCACACACAGCTACACTGAGGTCCACAGACCTCAGGGGTAGACAAATTCAGTTCAGACCATGACACAGAACAGCAGCTGCTGGTCAGAACTGTGCACATAGCAACAGACATGATTGTACTGGCCAGGGTAGCCTCATTCCCAGTGTGTTCCAGGAAGTAACAGAGGGGCTTCTATCCAATCAAGGAAGGATCTCAGCAGAAAGCTGTTGAGAGCTGACAGGTTCTCACCATCTAGCCCAGGTCTACATAGAACCCATAATCCTCCCGACTCTGCCTCTCAGGTCAGGGGCATGGCCCCCAAGCCTAGCTTGACGCTGATCTAGAATGCAGATGTTACAGGGCAGGGCAAGTGGGGTGGGGAGGTCTCAGAGTCAGAAAGAGGCACCTGCTGAGCATCTCCCAGTAGCTAAACAAGAGTTCTTGATGTCAGTACCACTGAAGTCCCATAAAGCAGTACTGAGCTAGGAAGTAAGACCCAGGCACATCTGGCCGTGGCACGGGCACCTTGAATGTGTAAGCCAGGACATGCCACTGCATGGCCTTCAGCCTCCTCTGCTCTCCATCCTACAGCGAGCTGAGATTGCCCAGGCTGTGCCCACTTACTCGCGCTCTGTCCTGTTGAGGAGAATGTTGGCAGTGCTCTCTGCTGATCCATGGGGGATGGAGGCAGCTGTGGGAGCTGGGGCGGAGTCCGGGCTGGGTGTTCCATTGGGAAGGAGCTGTTTCTGTCTCTTGAACTCAGACCTGGGAGCCACTAGAGAGGCAGAGGAAGTGAGCCTGGGAGCTTCAACTAAAGGGAGGAGTGATGTACAAAGAGGAGAGGGAAGGGGTGTGTGTGAGTACATGTGCATGCACGTGTGTGTGTGCGTGTGTGTGTGTGTGCATGAATGTGTGTGCATGTCTGTGTCTGTGTGTGAGTGTGTGAGCTACTGACGTCCTGCAGCCTGGGTGTCAGAGCCCCCTGTGGTTGGAGAAATAGGCGCTTCTGAGACCTTGATGGAGATGCTAAGAACAGAACTCAGATCTTCTGCAAAAGCTGTAAGTGTTCTTGACCACTTACTATCTTCTTAGTCCCTGGTGGTTGTTGTTTGTTTTTTGAGGAAGGCTCCCTCACCGGCCTGGGGCTGCCAATTTGGCTAGACTAGCTGAGCAGTGTACCTCTGTAATCCACCTATCATTGCCTCCCCAGCTCTGGAATTACAAGTGGCACTTGCTTGCCTATGGGTTCTTGGGAATCAAACTCTGGTCCTCACACCTGCAAGGTAAGCATTTCACCAACTGAAACATCTCTCCCGTTTCCCTGTCTGTAAGCCCTATCTTTAATTCCCCTGTGGTGAACTCCCATAGTATCTCACATCCTGACATACAACACAAGGCTGTCTGTCTGTCTGGCTTCCATTTGGTCCCTCCCAGGCGGCAGCCTACCCAGGCTACCCACTCACCTATCTTAGCCACTGGTGTCTCCTGTAAGTGGCAGCTCTGTGGTCCTCTCTGGGAAGAGCTCAGGCTGGAGAGATGCCGCTGGGTTCTGTTTCTGGGTATGTCAGCCTCAGTGGTTCTTCTGGGAACCATGGGACCCCTGGCCTTGGGATGGGAGGTACCATCACCAGGCACAGAGGCAGTGAGGTGTTGAGCTGATGGCCCTGAAGTGCTGGAGGCCAGGGGAGGGGAGACACTGAGGTTAGACAGAAAGGGCTCAAGCCACAGTACCCAGACCCCTCTGAGTGCTAAGGCTTGAACTCTCAGCCTTAGAGCGGCACATCTCAAGCATCTCAGTGCATCTGAGGGCCGAGGACAGCCTTATCTGGGGCATCCTTGTTCTGATGTGTGCATCACAGTGCACCTATCAGCCATATAAGGAAGGACTGAAGCTCTCTCCATTCCTGACAATTCCAGACCTTTCTTCACAGGCACACTTGGGCTGCCAAGTGGGTTTCCAGGTGGCCAGTGCCCCACCCTGGGGATCACCAGTCTCCATGGTGGCCTCATCTCGTTCCAATTCCTGCAGAGCTCCCCCACCTTCGGCTTTCCCTTGAGTTCCTTGTGGTCTCTGTTCACCTGCCACCCTGATGCTCTACTGAACTGTCATCTCACACCACCCTCCCTGACGGCTTCATCTACACACTCCATTTACTCCTGCCGTTGCTTAGGAAGAAAACATCACCCAACAGTTGTGGATGGGCTGAGCGATATCCAGGAAGTCAGTTCTGTTCTCTGAGGCTCTCTATCAGTATGATAGGAATGGGACCCATCACTGGGGTTGACGTGAGGGTGTGCAGATGCTGAGACCATTGGCCCCTGTTCTGGGCTACACTGATATTTAGATTTCAAGATGTCCCATGTACCTGACATGGGAGAGCCGATGCTCTGGGGTCTGGGCGAAAGGTGACACTATGCTGGTTTCTGAGCCCACGAAGCCACTGTCTGTCTCTGGTGACACCATCCAGGGCTCCTAGAATGGACAACATCCTTTAAGTCTGAGGAAAGTACTCCTGTGCATTGGGAAACCCCTCCCAGATCCTGGCCTCATATTCCTGGGGCTCCAACACCCCAGTGCTGTCTGACCCTATGGCCAAGCTAGTGTACAACTAACTCCCTGTACCAAGAGGACACTGAGCAGGCCTGGCTGTCCTGAGGACTGGGCTCCATCTGGGTTCTCGTAAGAGATGCTAGGGCTTGCAAGGTGTAGAAAGAGGAGAAGGAGAAAGCCTTAACACAGTGCCTTTTGATTCAGGCAGTTAGTTCCATGTGCTGCAGAGATGCTTAGGACAACCTTCACCATGCACATGCCAGCACATGAATTTAAGGCAGGGCACAGGGAACGTGTGAATGATGAGGGTGCCCCACCCCCTCAGCGTCTCAAGCAGAGACTGCCAAGCATAGGTTCATCAGGACTACAGTAGTGTGTCAATGTTCACTGTAAATGCATGCACATGTGTATTTGCATATGTGTAGGCATGCATTGTGTGTATAGATGTGCCTGTGTATGCAGGTACACATGTATGTGCTATGTGTGTTGTGTGTAGTTTGTATGTGTGCATGCGCACACGTACATGTACAAAAATACACAGCCTCAGTGGTATTTTGTCTGTGGCCTTGCACCTCTGCAACAGTTTGCCAATTATCACTTGTGGGTGCAAATGGCAGTTAGACACCAGGTCCCGGCTCTGACACATTGACTGTTGGGAGCAGCCCTGCTTACACACTGAAGGCCTAAAATCAGCAATAGGCCTGACATACATGCCTGCTGGCACCAAGTCTTGGGTCTCTGTGGAAAAACATTGAAACAGATAGCTGGGAGTTACTGTAAACAGCAGCTTTGGTGGAAGGCTGCCAAGCCTGGCTACTCATAGGCCTTGTAGATGGGTAACCTTGGTGGATAGTACCAACTTAGATAAAGACAAGTGAATCATAGGCGGAGTCATAGTGGTCTGTCCCCTGAACCTTCACCCAGCTGACACTCTGTTCTGGAAGAGATCTGTACTCCCCCTGAACACCTACACTCCTGTGTCATCCCCTTCCCCACATCCTGCCTTTTTGTGTATATAACCTGTGTGTGCAAAAGTAAAAATTACGATCTGATCAGATTATAGACAGGTGGTGACTTCCTTGTGTCTTTGCCTGCTCCTCCCGCTCTCTTTCAGATGACCTCCCCGGACCCCTGTTTAATGTCCTGCTGGACAGGACAACTGACAAATGAGCACAAGCCACAGCTCAGGGGGAGGCAGTCAGCAGAGGACAGGTGGCACTGGGCTCACATGCTGACTGGTGGGCAGGCTATACAGCTGCAGAAACAGAAGTAGTGTCAGGCAAGAGGTGGGGACACATGAAAAGAGCCAGGGAGAGCAAAGGCCAGGAACAAAGCTCAGACACTGCGGGATCTTCTGACCACCCCACAAGCACACTCACCTCAGTGTGGGGCCCACCACCCTGAAGCAAGGCTTTGCGAGGAAGCACCTCTGAGGACCTGCTCTCTTCCAGGCTGGTCAGACTGCTCTGATGTGATGTCATGGGTTTGGTGCCCTGTTGAGCCACTTCCTCGGTATCCAGGACTGGTGTGTACCTGTCTCTGGCCTTGGATGGCCGGAAGTTTGGTGATGTCATAGATGGCATCTGTTCCTCATCTCCCCTAGGAGGGAAGGAGACAAACAACCCCCACATGAGCCTGGTGATCCAGACTTGGGGCTTAGCACCAGTCCAGGGACAAGCGCTGGCATCAGACATCCATTCCTGGGGATGCATCCTGGCTCCGTCACCTAGCTGTGTGACCTTGGGCAGCGCTTTCCATCTCTGGACCTCATACTTCTTTTAACTGTAATGTGGGGAGCTAAAATAACCTCCCAGCATATCACAGCAGAAATACCCTGAAGGATATGATTGAAGCAGAGCTTCTCGGAGTCTAAGGGCTCACAAACCCAATTTCCTACATTAGCTATTTGCACAGACCTCCACAGAATCCAAAGACAATATTATTATACATGGAAGGCCAAAAATTTGTGTTAAAAAATAGAAACTAATTTTGAAAATAATAGAAACATTACAGGCTGGATACTTTTTCCCCCTGCAATGGGACTTGAACCCAGGGCATGTGAGGCAAGTGCTGTACTCTACTCCTGAACCACATCCGTAACTCTTTTGCTTGTGCTGCCAATGGTCACCCCTTTGTGGGACACTGGAGTTTGTGACAGAGGTCAGTGACTTACTGGATAGCAGCCCTATGGTTCTCCACAGCCTGTGCTGAGCGCTGTCCTGGTGATACCCTCATGGCTTCTGTTTTCCCTGGAGCTGCGGCTGGACCATCATCTTCCAAGGTGCCATGATGATCCTGTTCCTCCCCCTCCTCCTCCTCTAGGTCCTCCTCATCTTCAACTCTCAAGGCTTCAGGGAGGGACTTCACGCTGAGGTATCTGCAGGACACCCAGAAGGGTATCACCTATGCTCACGGGGACAAGCGAGACCCAGAATGGCCAGCCCAGCAGTGGACAGTGTCTTCATCCTATGCATACTCACCTCTCCAGAAGGCCATGAAAGTCCTGCTCCATCTGAGGCTTCCTGTCTCTGAGTGGGACTGGGAGACCTCTTGGGCTTTCCTCTGTCTTGATGTCCAGGCTTACCTCCTTGTTCACGGGGAGCATGCAAGAGCTTCCGGGGGAAGTGGTGATGGTAGCAGGCTGGCCAAGGAAGTGGGGGACAGAGGTTAGCCATCACTCTGAGCACCTGCCAATGCCATCTCATGCCACATGCCGAAGAGCAGGAAACAGTGAACTCGTTGGTCTATCTCCTGCCATTCATTCATGTGTGTGAGACCCTGTGAAGACTAAAGGGTCTTCGTGGGGGCTGCTGGGAGCTGAGCTCCTGGTGCGCCTGCGAGGCTTACTACAGACACAATTTCTCCTCAGTGTCCCAAAACAGACTTCACACAGAAATTGAGGCTGGTGTGACACACTAAAGCCATACCGAAGCCAGGGCAGTCTGCCTGCCAGAGGCACCTGTAGTCACCTTTCCCTATAGCCTGGCCACCCAGGCTTCCTGTCAGCACAGGAAATGCCATCTGCCAGGGTTGTTCTGCCTACTGGGCAGGGCTCAGGGTGAGTCCCCAACCCTCAGGGCCAGCCTTCTCACCCACTCACCTAATGCACTAGCCCTATCGTGCTCTGCAGCAGCAGGCAAGTCCCCATGGGCCAAGAGCAGGAGCTTAGGGACACAGAACTGCCGCCATTGCTATCTGTGTGACCACAGCACACCCACCCAAGGGAGAGAGTGGCTGCCTCATAACAGACTATGGTGTGGAGAGAGGGCTCTGTCAACAGCACGTTCCACACAGAGGCTGTGACTGGTGTCTTAGCTTTGTAAGCACCCACAATCCTTGTCTCTCACTAGGCTGGGGGCCTGAGAGCCAACTGGCTGCCTTCTCTCTCACTCTCATCCAAGTCAGATCAAATGAATCCTTGAACCTTGTCTAAGCTCATGTACTCATCTCTCCCTCTACCCTGTCACTCCCCAGCCTCATATTGGCTGACCCACAAGTGTCTGCTGCCACCTTCTACTGAAGGCCCAAGGAGGGCCTAATTGTGACATGCGCCACATGCTCCTGCATCACAAGGCCCATGCTGGTGTCTCCAGCAACATGGCAGACATTACAACCCACTCACTTTCCACAGAATGACTTGTCTCCGGCACCGAACAGCCCCTACTTACTCTCCCATTTCCCTCAAACACTTCAGAGAGAGTTGGTGTCCCTGTCCTAATCAGTTACAGTGTCCTCCCTTCACTTCCACCGAGCCTGTATTTTTCTTTCAGTGTGCTATCAAAATAACACTACAAGTAGTTCATGTATTCAGAAAACTCCATAAGGGCAGAAGTCCCCTTCTCCACTTTCTGTCCCCACTGCATCCCCACTGTGTGTCACAGGACCTAGAATATGGCACACACTTCCTAAATATATAGTGAAGAAGTGAACATGGAATGAATAAGAGAAGCACATGGAGACTGGACTAGTGAGATGGGCAGACCAGTACCTCCTGGTAGGTTTGGACATCTGCTGAGGAGACTGGTCCTGAAGGCATGGGCAGATGAGCTGGCTGGGGCAGAAAGGGCATGACTGGGGTGCTGTCCTGCAGGTCTGGCACACATGGCTCTAGCTCTCCTTGGGTCTGGTCCATATGGTCCTGCAGCTCTTCCAGGCGCTGCCCCAGGTGGTATATCTCTGCCTCTAGCTCCCTTGAAGGAAGAAATATCAACAAGGTGATGAGTGTCAAATCAGAGACCCTGGGGAACCCTCTCAGGGTCCACATAAGCCATTAATAGATGTCCCCAAGAACTTCAATAGCAAGATGATTATTAGACACCAATGGGAGTCAGGAGGCCTCCGCTCGGTTCCTTCTGCCATCCTGATGTTGTGTGCCTCTTAAGTAGCCCCCGGTTTCCTTTGGCCTCAGCATCCTCATTGTCTAGTGGGAGGCTCTGCAATTCTGATCTCCAAAATGTATCTACAGGGACGGGATTCTCAGCTCTAGACTCGTTGCTCATGAGGACAGGGGCTCCTGTGTCCTGTGACACAATGATGCTTGTGAAATGTCTCCCTCCTGGAGAAAAGAGGTAGCCAGTGGCCTGTCCTCCTGTCCCCCCTGGGCCTGTCTCTCCAGTACCTACCTGCAGAGGTTGAGGGTCCTGGGACTCCCCTGGGAGGCATCAAGCTGAGGGTTCAAGTGCTCTTCTCTGCAAGCCTGCAGGTACTCTGCCTCTAGGGCCATGTGGGCTGCCCTCAGCTGCTCCAAGCTCTGAAACACAAGGGCCAAGAACTTTGAGTGCCTGCCCTTGGGGGCTTCATGCTCACACAATGGACAGGTGGCTCCTGGATGGGGGGGCTCTGGGACTCACATGAGAAACAGGGGCTGTGGCTGGGCACCTCTGGAAGCTTCTCTCCAGATGGCGCTCTCTGCCATCAAACACTTGAAGCCTAGGAACCAGCCCAGAGACCACTGGGTCCTCTTTTGTAGACTACAGCCCCCCAACCCCGTGGCTCCTGGTCAGATTCAGCAGCAGATATCTTACCACTGTGTCCCCATAAGGACCTAATACTACAGAGAGCCCAGATCTTCACTCCTGATGCGAAAACTGGGCCATTCAGAAAATATAACTCTCTCTCTCTCTCTCCCCTAGTCCTCACAGATCGTGAGGACAGATGGTATTTACCACCTCACACTGTGGATAGGGGTGACTAGCATAGTGTCTGTTAGATCGAGCATGCTGCATTCATTTCTGCTCCAGCAGAATCGCAATGAGAGAGATAATTTGCCAGCAAAGCACACAGAAAGAATTGTTTAAGCTGTTGAAACTTACACAATAAGTGAGCACTTTGTACAGGCAAGAATTGATCTCAGGCCCACTGGCTCAGAGCTCCTAGTCCTAAAGCTCTGCTAGGCCCTCATAGCAAACATAAACATAGCCAATCAATATATGGCTGTGTCCCTGTTCTACTAGTTCCTTCCTATAGGAGCCTAGGGATAGATTGAACCTAGAATGTAGTTTCCAGCCATGTCTGATATCCCAGAAGCCCTCAGGGTCCCTAGATATGGAGGAATGAGGATGGAGAGGAAGAAAAGGACACTTCATTTGTCATTTGTAGAAGGAAAGATGGCTGCCAAGGATTTATGCTAAGTGAAGACAGACAAGGACTAGAGTCACATGTTCTCACTAGCACGTGAAAGCTAAAAATGCTGGCATAGAGAGGGGACAGAGGCCAGGAGGGACTGGGAAAGTCAAGGTGAAGGCTGGGCTTCAGGTACCACAGCAGTCACAAGGGAGGCATAAACTCTGATGCGCTGCCGTATTATCAGACACTTTGGAGCTAGAAGAGAGCTGAGTCTGGTACACAAGCCTGGAATCTATGTGGGAGGCTGAGGCAGGAGGATGACAAGTTCAAAGCCAGCCTGGGTAATCCAGTGAGATCCTGTCTCACAGATGAAAAGTTGAGGGTACTCAGATGGCTCAGTGGATAAAGTACTTATCACTCAGGCCTGGGGACCTGAATTCAGTTCCTGGGAACCTATGGAGAGGTGAGACAGGGAACTGACTCACAGAGCAGGCCCCTGGCCTCTGCCCTCACACTGTCACACATTCCTGAGGCCCTGACTGGCAGCAGAAAAGATTGGATATCTGGCTATAACTACCTAAAACCGGAACCCAAAGGAAACTGGCGCCAACAGTTTCATGGGAAAAATGATCCCGTCTTCTATCTACCCCTAGTCCCAAGCTTTGAAAAATAATAGGAAAGAAGATTAGAAAGCAAAGGTCCTTTTCTGGAGCCTGGGAGTAAAGTGGCAGGGGTCACGACTGGGTAGGCAGCAGCCCCAGCTCGGGTCTCTGCCACCCACGGCTGTGTGGTTTTGGTGTCGTTTCTCTCTGGGCTTCTGCTTCATCATTGTTAAACAAGGGTAATAATCACAGCTCCCTGGCGGGCGTTTATGATGAGGAGATAAAACGGTGATAGCACATCCAGACTGCCTGGTAAGCCACTGCGACTCATCAAGGGCTTGCTGCCAGGACACGGAAAGCAACTGTCTGGGACACTAAGTCGGAGCTAGTCTCAACTTCTGAGAAAGACTGGTCTGGGACACAGCCACCTGCCTTTAGCAAAAGGGGGCTCAGAGACTCAACTCTGGGGACAGGCTATCTGGTCACTGCTGGTGCAATGTCCACACTGGATAGCAGTACCTTGATTTGGTCCTGGGGTGGGAGGTGTCCAGCCAGTACCAGTTCCTCGAAGGATTCCACCTGGACGATAGGAGGGAAAGAAGAATGCTTTATGAATCCAGACCCTGTGGTGACCCTCACACACTCAGCCACACTGCACTCTGGTGGCAAGGGCTGGGACTGCCTTCAGAATACAAGGTGTCTTCCCAGCAGGAGGTGTGGGTCCTGGAAGTGGATTCCACCTCTGGCCTTGGACAGGACAGCCTTGGGAAAAATCTAGAAGGTGCACTCATGTGTAGGAAGACATTTCCTGCAGTCTGACTGGTGGGAGGATCAGCACACATGCTGTCTGAGGAACAGTATGCAGCCACCAAGAAGAAGGACTCATGGGCTATTCCCACATACAAAGGCTCCGAGACCTAATTTCCAGGGCCAATCAAGATAAGGGTACTGCCTGGGGAGTAGTAAAGGGAGTAGCCATCGAAACCCAGGGAGGTTGAACCTCTTATATAAAACCGTGTTGTGTTTCCACAGAACATGCTCAGTCCTCTGTGGGTGGAAAACGACTTCAGCTCTGGGAGAGTCTACAGTGTCAGCCTAGGGCTGAGGGTGTGGCTCAGTGGTGGAGTGTGTACTTGGAAACCACGAGGGTCTGTGTACTAGCCCTGACACTGCACTCGCACGCGCGCGCGCGCGCACACACACACACATAGACAGACAAAAATATTTAAAATAAAAATCAAAGCCGAGAATAGTGGTGCCTGCATTTAATCCCAGCAATCAGGAGGCTGAGGCAGGAGGATCTCCACGAGTTATAGGCCAGCTTGATCTACAAAGTGAGTTTCAGGACAGCCAAGGCTACATAATGAGACCCTGCCTGGAAGACAACAACAACAACAACATCACCACTATGCGGATTTATTAAGGGAGATTAGGGTAAACTGAAATAGGAACATTTATATAACTACATTATAGCGTGTCTCTTATATAATATATGAAGTAGAAATGTGATAAGAGCTACATATCCTATACAATTAGACATCTTGTGGAAATTTAAATTTTTAATAATATATATTTTTATTTTAAATTGCATTTATTGTGTGTGTGTGTGTAGGTACATGCATGGGTGTGTGGATGGATGCAGTTGTGTGCGTGTACACACTGTGTTGTACATATGGAGGTCAACTCTTAGGAGTCAGGTCTTTCCTTTTATAGTGTGTGTCCTGGAGTTGAGACTCAGGTCAGTAGGCTTGGTAGAAAGCCCCCCTTCCTGCTGCGCCATCTGTAGGCCCTTCATAAAATTTTTTATTTGATCACAAATATCATTTCAATATGTAATCAGTTTAAAAAAATTACCACTTAGTTCAGTAAGAGATTTTGTTGTTGTTTTGTTTCAAAGCACAGTCTCATTCAGAACCCTAAGCTGGCCTTGAATTCGGTGACTGGCCTGTGCCAGCCTCTCATGTGCTAGGGTTACAGGCAAGAGCTTCCAGCCTGTGAGATCACTGCAAGTCTCATGTTGACGTGAGACTTAAGCTCCAGTGTGCTTTGTACTCCCGGCACATCTTCCCTCAAACCTATCCAAGGCCAAGAAGTAAACAGTCCAACAAGGGCCAATGGCCCCGAGGTGGGCCAGCCTGGCTCTGGACAGGGCTTTAGCCATGCCCTGACTGCTAAAGAGAAATGCTATCCCAGGTACAGGACCAAGAATGGTGGCAGTGGGATGACACACTGCTGGACCACAGAGGAGTCAGAAAACACCAGGGAAACTCCAAAAAATCAGATGCGGAGGAGGAACATGGCTGATTGTACTTATAAGTCACATCCCACCAAGTGCAAAGACAAGGGTGGGAGAGTGGTTGCTGGCCCCGAAGGGTAGGATGGTCAAGGACTGCTTCCTGGACGTGTCATTCTGGTGATGGAAATATTCTAACACAAGCCTTGAAGCTGCAGGGCCGTGGTGCAGGAAAAGATAGGACTGCTCACGTTTGAAATGAGTGAAGTTGTGGTATGCTCATTAGACCTCAGTAAAGCTGTGACCCTACCCCCAGCCCCAAAAAAAGAAAAAAAGGAAAAGAGAATGCTAGTAGTCCTGAAAGAAATTGGTTTTATGGAGAAGGTAATGTAACAATTGTGTTTACGTTTTTGTAACAGAGAGCAGGAAACTCAAAGCCCAAGGTGTAATTCTGGTAGAGGGCTTGGGGCTCAACAGAACATCTTGTTTACTGGCTTTGAGCAAGCTTAATTTACTTTTCTGTGTGTGGACTTCCCCTCTGCCTCAGCTCCCCCACTTCCGTTTTCAGAATGTGGTTAAGGCGTTGTGTCTTCTTAAGTCTAGTTAGACACCTTTGGAACAGAGCCAAGTGTGAAGTTAGACAAAGACCTGCAGACAACTCTGAGCTGGAGTGCTGTCTGCAAAACCTCAAGAGGTGATAGGATTAGCTTCAGTAATGAAGGAACGGAGAAGGGACAGTTTGTCATTAAGAGGAAAATGTGGAGTGGAGGGCAGTGAGAGTGAAGGTCTCACTGTGGACAACCATAGGACACCTCCAAGCCTTACTGGGGAAGCTGTGACAACAGATAGGCTGCCACTCAATAGACAGCTTCAACCTTCTTCTGGTAGCAATGAGGCTGGAACCCATGGTGTGTGAGGGCAAGGGGGATGGATGGTCAAGTTCCTGAAAAGAACTTGGAGGTACCACATGGAGGTAGAGCAGAGACACCTGGGGCTAGTATAAGCATCTCACATACACAGAGGCACCATGCTTTGGGGATGAGGTGTCTTGTGGGACAAAGCTGGGGTTCACTCACCTTGGCTAGAAGCCGGCTGACCTGAGAGGTCAGAGCCTGGGTTTGTCCTGTGGAGGGCTGGTCTGTGGCAGTGCCCTGGCTCTGAGGATGCCGGCCTGGAGTGGCCATGCTGGGGGACGAGGAGGGACTCAGGTCTGTTCGTGGGGACGGCCACCCTGGAATACACAGCCGCTGAACCCTGGGGCTGAGGACAGTCCCCCAGTCCACTGAGGTTGAATCCCTGAGGCACCTCAGACCACCATATCATCAAGCTATGGCTTGGCCCATTCTGGCTAACGTTCACAGTAGCCCAGGAAGAGGGCTGGCCACTATGCTGCTCCCCTACCAGAGAAAATGAGGTATGGATCTACCCTAGATCAAAGCTGCCAGGGGATGGTGTCAGGTCTTGGAGGTGGATCTCAGTTCTAAGTACAGACTCTAACTCATGGAAAAGCAGGTTTGAATCCTCGCCCTTTCCTTTCCAAGCTATGTGACTACAGTATACCTTTGCCTCCCTGAGCCCCAAGCCTCCCAACTATCACGGGGTTATAAAAGCTGGTATTCCTCACCAGCTCGTGTGAGGACTAACTGCGGTCATATGTGTCCATTTTAGGGCCTACAATGGGCTCAAGGAAAACAATGCTCACACCACAGAACCATGAGGCTGGGTGAGTGAGCCAAGGTTCTACCCAGGATGGTCCCCAGGGTGGAGCCAATGTCCTCCATGAGCAGGAGGATGCTTAAAAGCCCTGGCTCCTTCGCCAACTCACCCGTGGCCTCAGAGGCCTGAGGATCCTGGGCAGAGTCAGGCCACCACTCTGCTGATCTGGGTTGTGGGATAGAGAAGGATATGACCTTGCTTCCTTGTGGCATTGACCCAGAGCAGAAGCTCTGACTGGGCTGGGGCGGGTCTGAATACAGATGCACCTGAGGAAGAGGGAGGTAGGAAGGAGAGGAGTCAGAAGGAGCAAGCTCACTGCAAAGAGGCCACAAGGCATCTGTCATCCAGGCTTTGTCCATCCTCCACACAGGAGCCCCATCCTTAGCCTGGGAATCACTAACACCACTTTTCAGTGGGGCCTACACTGGGCGGAGGACTGAAAAGCCGCCTCCTCTTGTCTTTACAGAGGTCCTGGAAGGGGGGCAGGTAAGGAAGGCACTCCCTATTTATCTTTTTTTAAAATTCATCTCTCATAAAATGCATCCTGACAGCAGCCTCCCTTCCCTCCACTCATCCCAGTCCCCAACCTCTGCTCTTGTCTCCCCGAGATCCACTGTTCCTCCATGTCCCTTCAGAAAAGAGCAGGTCTCAGAGAGATATCAATGGGACACAGCTTAACACGTTATAATAATACTAGGCATAAACTCTCATATCAAGGCTGACAGAGCAACCCACTAAGAGGAAAAGGGTCCCCAGAGCAGGCAAAACAGTAAGAGACACCCGACTCACACTGTTAGGAACCCCACAAAAAAATCCCTAGCTAAAACAACCACAATATATATGCTGAGGATCTAGCAGAGACCCACGCAGGCTCACGATTGCCGCTTCAGTCTCTGTGAGCCCGTATAAGCCCTAGACTCCCAGAAGTTATGTGCCACAAGAGATCACCAGCTAAGCACCTGGACTTGATCCCACAGCCTATGGTTTTACTCTGGTGACAATAATGGTTACAAGTAATATGTATCATGTGTCTTACCCATGTATGATCACCATCGTTTTAACGAAATGTTTCCAATAATAACTACATTGGTAGTAATAAATAGTAAACGACTGTCTGAATGAATGAAGGAGAGGTTATGTGCACAGACGGACCCTTCCAGGAGTTGTGCTCTGCCCTTGACGACGGCGTGGGAAGTGTGCAGGGAGGCAGCTGGTGAGAAAGCACACTGGAGCTCGGCACGAGGGAATCCAGGTTCCAAGCAGGGGAGTGAACACAGCTGAGGAGCCAGGGGCTGATTCTGTATCCAGGGGTTCACTGGCTGCAGCCACATCTGTCATTATGAGCCATCGATGGCAGCTTTCACACCATAGCAGCCGAGCTGGGCGGCAGCTGACTGAGGCTGTGGAAGCCACAGCTGAAAATACTCAGTCTGGCTAGCTTGGCTTAATATGTATGCTCCAAAGTCAGAGGCCAGGCTGGAATTCAATGATACACCGTTATGATACACCTCAGTTCTGGAGTGGATGGCACGGTTGATGTCCCCATGCGTGAAATTAGTGCTCAGTAAATGGTAGCTGCCACCTGCACATTCAGCATTGGCACTGTGACAATCTGAGACTGTTCCCCCATAGCATTGGGATTTGAATACTTGGTCCCAGTTGGTGGCATTTGGGGGTGGGGGTAGGACTAGGAGATGTGGCCTTGCTGAAGGAAGTGTGTCACTGGGGTGACCGCTGAGGCCACACGCCAGTCTGTTTGCTCTCTCTGCTTCCTGCTTGTAGTTTATGATGTGAGCACTCAGCTTGCTGTTCAGACGCCATGACTGCTTGCTGTGTTTCTCGACTGTGATGGTGATGGACTCAGAGCCATAAAGCCACGTAACTCCTTCCTTCTGTAAGTTGGCTGGTCATGGTATCTTATCACAGCAATAGATGAGTAACTGACACAGTCATCAACATCTCCACCATCACAGTCTTCACCATCATCTTCACCATTACCTTAACCTTCATCATCATCCCTCTGTCTTCAGCATCCTATCTTATGTGTATATGGCCACCATGCAGGAGGGCCAGTAAAAAAGATACACTCCTATGATGCCTTGCTACCCATTTAAGAGCTCAGGTGGGGTATCCTGACTGCTCTCTGCCACCCCATGACCAGGGCAGCTGAAGATGGGCTTGGCTTAGGGGTCCCACAGCCTCCAGACAGGAAGCCCCTTTGCATAAGCTGTTCTTTGGGGCCTGGCTGTTTCAAGTGCAGTTTGGTGACACTGCCTCCCCCTCCTCTAGCCTGAGCCTCCCTAGTTGAGAACAAAGCTGGATTTTCATAATCCTCTGGGCCATCTGCTCAGCTTTGCCTGTGGGGGCCTGCCTATCAGCACCCTTTTCTTCCTGAGGTGACCCAAATCCCAGGGGAGGCCCTGCCCTCTTGTGTTCCACACCCACTGTGCTAAAGCCCCACCTGTGGAGCAGTGGGAACCTGGCAGCTTCTAGATACAGAAGAATGAAAACGAGGGAAACAGAGCCCTAGGCCTGTGAGGCCCGGGCCATCCAGAGGAAATAGGGAGTAGGGAGGAGACTTAGCAACTGCTGAGCCACAGGGCCTATCCCTGCCGTGGCCTGCCATTCTGAACAGAGTAGACTCTACAGTGATACTCAGAAGCCCTCGGGACTCTGTGCAGGGTGGACCATCGAGTTTGGGAAACATCGGGTTAAACAAATGAGTATTCTGGGCACAGCTGGGGTCTCCAAGCCTTTAAAATGGTAATGAGCTTTATGAATGGGGCAGGAGGGGAGGGGAGTGCCCGCTCCACTCCATCTGAGCACAGCGCCTCCCACAGATACTGAACCCCATCAGGAGCTTCTGTGCCCAGAGTGGCAGAACTCACTTCCGGTGACATCATCCCCCAATTCCTTTAAGGGTGGTTTCTCTCTCCTCAACTGTTTCACATCCCCCTAAAGCTGAGACAAGGGACAGGAGCTGGGAGGAAGTAGCAACAAGACAGCAAGGGGTGACATCATCACAGATGCTAGAGTCAGCATACAGAATAAAGCCCACCCACGAGTCCTAATTAGTCCTAGTCCCCCAACCCATGCTCCTGGCTCTCACACCAGACCCTGGGTCCTAGATGATCCTAGATCTAAGTTTGGCCTTCCCTGGGAAGTTTCTTTGGCTGCAGATTCGGTGAGCATTGTTGGCTTGGTTTTGGCAGAGTAAGTGAGTCATGGATCCTGCAGCCAGGTGTTTAGGGTCAAAGCCTAGCTCTGGTGCCTCTATGTTGTGTGATCCTGCTAAACCTCCCTGTGTCCAGCTGTAAATGACTTAGAACAGCAGTCAACAGAATCACCAATGGTTATTCCTATCACTGTGGCCTGCCTGTCTGTAGGCTTGTCCCACACACAATGCTGGGCCTGAGCTAGAGATCTCAGACCCGAGGAAACTATACCATCTGGCAAGGACAGACAGATCCAGGGGGACGCCCCGCCTTTGTGTCTCACACCTGCACTAGGGGACTCATGGCTTAGCCTTGTGTCTGCAAGTGGAGGGGACACCCTTAGTATGGGACTTGACTCTGACTGGCTCAGCCAATGCTGGTCTCAGTTCCTTCGGACTGTGGTTCCCAGTTACTCACCGCAGAGGTAGCCTACGTATCAGGGTATATTCCAGGCTGGCTCTCTCTCCCTCTCTTGGGTGGGCCTAGCCTCGTGTACATTTTTCTGGGCTCTGGAGTGAAAGAGCTCAGCAGGCCCTAGAGAAGTCATGTTCAAAGATCCATGTGAGAGCCAGGAAGCCCACAGGATTCAGACCCCCTCAGGTTTCTGAAGTGGGCTTTGAGCAGGGTACCTTCTAGTGGAGAGCAAGGAGCTCAAAACTTGAAGGATCGGGAGGCCCTGGCCCCCTGTTCTTCCCTGAAAGTTGGAACCCTGAGCTGTGTCCCAGTCACTCTCAAAGTGGCAACGAGGCTGGGGTGGAGGGAATTATGGGCCATTTTCAGTACAATCACCTGAATAGACTCACTCTTCTCTTGGGCTGAAGACTTATCTTTCCAGAGAGCAGCCTCTGGGTGGCTGAACCATTCAGCATCTCCTACAGTTTATCCTGTGAGCCCTCTCTGCAGCTCTCCCCAGGCCTGTCCTCACATTCCCTTTCTCAATACTTGGAACTCTGCAGCACCCAAAGATATCAGTGGGGGTTACTGTATTCCTGAAGGTCTGCTCTCAGTCCCACAGATGTTACCCAATAGATGTGTCCAGGAGACAACATGAGAAGAGTCCTGCCTACACCTGGCAGGGCCACAGGCGTGGAGACAGGCAGGCCCGTTTCAACTTCTTGCTATGGTTGACTATACCTATGTCCCCCGAAGTGGCTGAAGGCATGAGGTCAACACATGACAGGGGGACCTTGGAAAGGGAAGCATTCTGCAGGAAGGTAGGGTATCCTCTTTCTAGAGGGACAACCAGAGCAGGGGAGCACCTACATCTCAGTCCCACAGCTGCTCTGCCTCCTCCATGCTGCCTGTTTGAGCAAATAGGGGGTATGAGGAAAGCAGGAAGTCAGGGGCTGGGTGGCTCACTTCCTGCTTCGCCCCAGGAAAGAGAAGGTCCCCATTCAGGGTTCTCAGCCTCCTCTGGAGACAGGTCATGATGGGAGGCTACCCAGTTCTCAGAGCAGATGAGCTAATCCCCTCACCACCATATGGGGCTGTCCCTCATAGGGTGCTCAGTTCCAGTTGGATAAAAGGAGGAGGTTTGGGGGGGAGACAAAGGAGAAAGGTGAAAGTGTGATCCTGGAAAAATGAGGTACCAAAGATTGAGCAGAAAACCTGGGCTACAGAATGAAAGTCACCCAGCTGGCTAGAAGGGGTTAGGAGTCAGCCTAGGTAGTCATACCGCTCCCCTCCCTGCCCCTCGCGCCCAAGCAGAGAAGGAATCAGCTTCTGGTGACATTCCTGAGTACTCCAGACTCCATTGCAAAGACATCAACAGTGAGAGAGTGCCCAGGGATAGGTAAGTTATGCCAAGGGTGAGAGAGAGAGGCCTAGTGGTGATTCAAGGACTAGGATTCCCTGATACACAGTCTCAGGATGCAAGAGCCAATGTGACCTTTCTCCAAGACTCTGGGGTAGGGCATCTCTCTAAGAACCCCCCACTCTTGGCTCCACCCAGTCAGTACCTTGGCCCCAAGGCGAAGTTGGTCAATGGTGTTCTCAGCCTCCGCATACTTGGTGAGGAGCTTGTGATAGTCCTCCTGTAGAGAAAAGATGCAGTCACTCCTGGCCACACATGCGTGAGGACCTGGGTTCGATCCCCAAAACCCAAGTAAAAATGCCAGGTGAGGTGGCACACATTTGGGGAGGGAGAGCCAGGTAGATCTCTGGAATTCTGGCCAGCCAGCCTAGCAGAACTGGTGAGTACCCGGTAAAAGTGAGACCTTGTCTCTAAAAACACAAGTAAGGTGGAGAACTTAGGCAGACGCTCAAAGCTGACTGCTGGGCTCCATATGCAAGCATCTGCACGCGCATCCACACATACACGAACATGTGCATACACGTATGCATAAACACAGAGAAAGGACAGAAAACTAGCTAAAGGTTATAGTTCTTATATACTCGGGATCCCTAGCCTTACACAAAATCCAAAGTTTTGTTAAAGCAACTCACCATAGGGGGAAAAACAGGTGCCATTGGTCATCTACCAATGCAAAGAAATGACACCTGAAAGTGAGTCGCTGTTGTAAAAGGTCCCGGGCTGGGGTAATGGGTCTGTGGGTGAAATGCCTACTGTGTGAGCGTGAGCAGCTGAGCTTGGATCTCTAGGACCTGTATTAAAACGTCAAGCATGAAGCTAGGCATGACGGCACATGCCTGCAATCCCAGCACTTGGGAGGCAGAGGTGTGAGCATCTCTGTGGGTTCCAGGAGAGCCAGAGCTATGTAAAAAGACCAGACCTTGTCCCCAAAAGACAAAAGCAGACAAAGCCAGCCAAGGCGATGCCTGCCTATAACCCCAGGATTGGAGGGGAACAGGAGAATCCACAGGCCCGATGGCCAGCCAACCTGAGTGAGTGAATTCAACCGTCAGTAAGCCTGGCACAGCAAAATATGGTGGAGAGGGATATAGGAAGACCCCTGGTGTCAGAAGAGGAGTGGGGGGGGATGGCTCAGTGGTTAAGCGCACTTGCTGTTCTTGCAGAGGATCCAGGTTAGGTTCCCAGCACTCATAAATAGTTCAGAGCCATCTGTGGCCCCAGTGTCATGGGATCTGATGACTTCTGACCTTCTCAGGCACCATGCACACACACAGTACACATCTATACACGCAGGCAAAGCATTCATATTCATAGAATAAATAAATAAATCTCAAAAGGAAGAGTAGGAAGGAAGGAAAGAAATCTCACAATGTTTCATTTTTCCCATATTGACAGGATCTTGGTGACCTCACAGTTGATGAGGGAAGGTGTTATTTCTTTAGAGGATTTATAGCAATGCGTGTAAAAGGAAGTAATTTCACAATAATACTATTTCACTTCAAGGGAAGGCCTTAGGCCAAAGGAAGGACTGCGGGGGACTTCATAGGTCAGGAGAGGCTGCAAATGGTCAGATCTCCTGAAGGAAACTCACAGCACCTTCCCCAATAGCTCACAGTCTGGTAGGGAGAGGCACACTTAGGAGCCTCCAATCCCAAGCCCCAAGCTCTGATCTTACTGATGGTCAGGGTAAAGAGAGGACATGCAAGGTCCCCTGAGATAAGGCATCTATATCTCAGCAGGGTGCAAAATGTGGATGACTACCGGGAAGGCCTGACTCCACAGAGATCACCTACCAACGAGAGATCAGCGGAGAAAAGGCAGCAGAAGATATTTGGAAAGAAGAAATGCAAGAAAGGCTGCACACAGGCCAAGGGCACACAGGTCAAGTGCCACCCATGAGCCTCATCTGACTCCAGGGAACGGAAAGAACAAGCCACTGCTAAGTGTGTGGGGACCTGTTTCTGCCACTGCATGCAACCCTGTGGGCAGAGTTCTTAGAGTTAAATAAACTACTAAATAACTGGATGTCTGGAACTTTCCTTAATTCAGTGGGAGTTGTGGGAGTGGGGGAAGAGGCTGGCCATAGATGGAGAAGGACCCAGGAGCTGCTCCGTGAGGATGTGAGGAGGAGCGTGCCCACTAGACTGGTTCCTTACATTAGATATGTTAGCAGTACTTGAAAGTAAACAGTCCATCCATGATCCATGAGACACCGACACGCTCACTGCTGTTGTTTTGAGACAGGGTCTCTAGTCCGAGCTAGCCCAGAACTTGCTATTGTTCCGCAGATGAGGATGGCCTCAGATATCTGATCCGCCTGCTTTCACTTGGGAGACTGGTAGGGTTACACACACGCACCACCATGCCCATTTATGAGGTGCTGAGATTAGACGTTGGGCTTTGCGCATGGGAGGCAAGCACTATACTGACTGAGTCACACTCCCAGTGTCTCCCACTGCTCTTCTCTGAGCAACAGGCAGGGTCAGCCATTAACACAGAAACAACTCTACCTTCACCAGCAGGGGCTCCAACCCAAGCCAAAGCTTCTCTAATCAACAAGTGTCTGGGTGACAGGGACAAGAGTCTTCCTTACCTGGAGCTGATGAACTAGCTCAGTGGCTTGTTCGGGTGTCTGGAACTCCTGGGGCACCCTGGGGATAGGGTGAGCAAGAGGAGACCCCTTGGCCAGGGATGCCTCTCCGCTACTCAACAGTACATCCCGAACGATCTCAGCTGGCGACTTGAAGATGAGGGGTCTGGTAGAGCCCTGCTGCCTGTTGTGGCCTCTGGACTTCGGGGGTCGGTAGTTCTCATCTTTGGGAAACCTCACCCGGGGCCCCACCTTGGAGAAGTCCGGGAGTGGGTAGTTCAGGCGCCCTTTGCCGTACTTGGGAGCATGTGACGAAGAGTGGCCAGCCAGAGTGGCTCCTTGCTTGTGCTGTGACACAACTTTCTTTACTGCCCCAAGCCGAGTACTCAGGGGGCTGACTGAGCCAGTGAACCGGGAGGGCAGCGGCTTAGGTGATGTCTTAGTTCTCTTCCAGGTCTGGTCCTCAAGCCGAGAGCTGGGGAGGCTGGTGGTTTCTCGTCCCCATGTGCCTGTAGAGCACTCAGGATTCTGGGCTGGCGATGCTAAGGAGTCCCGGAATTCTGTAGGTGTTGCCGGAGCAACGTCACCTCCATTTCTGTCACCTGGGTGTGGAAGGTTGTGGCACAGACTCTGTGGCAGGGCTTCGGGCAAGGTGGCAGGCTGGTGGACATCGGTGTCTTCTTCACAGGTAGAACCAAGGCTGTCACTAGGTTGACCTAGGCTCACGGTCCCACTGCTCCAAGACTTTGTGTGACTGTGTTCAACAGATAGCTGGGTCTCAAGATGCTCTGAAGATCTGTAGTTACTGCCTTGTTTGAGAGAGGTAATCCAGCCACTGGCTGGTCCCTGTCCTAGAGCTGGAGGGCTGGAATCTCCCTGGTCTTCACACTCCAGCTCTGTATAACTCTCTCCAGCTAAGTCTACCTCAGGGCTCCCAGGGGCCTCATCCAGCTCCTCTTCAGACAGATCCAGCTGTTGTTGATGGTGCCTAGAGAGCCAGGGCAGGGGCACGGTGGGACCCTCTGGGCTGTTCACATCATCAGCTTCAGTCTCTAGAAAGACAGGTCATTCACTGCTGAGCATGTGCTGAGTCTAGAAGGCCACCTGAGTTGCTTCATGACCCTCACGATGCTGAGGATGACAAGAACCTAGAGCCACCACCCCCCTCCACGCACATAACCAGGTACTTGTGTAACTTTTCCCCGGTCAAAGGTCCTCCAAACTCAGACCTTAGATCGAGTCTCCCCAAAGTGTGTCTCATTTCTACAAATGGCAACACTGTCCCATAAAGTTGCAAAAGGCAAAGCCTGGGAGGCATCTTGATTGTCACCTTAGCCCCTGATCCAGAATGTCCCCTGCCCTGTCCTGTTTACCTCCTACAGAAGAACAAATGCAATAACCATGTAATCTCCTCCTGTTCAGCCTCCCACCACCTGGGATCTCATCATGTCTCCCCGTTGTTCTCATCATGAAAGCAGAGCCTTTCCTGGGGTCCTGGGGTCCCTGCTGCTCCAACACCCATAACCCAGGGACCCTGAAAAGCACTGTGCTTGTGTTCATCCTCCACCAGGGTCCTGTGTCCTTCCCTTATCTTGTGAGCTATTGATCCTTCAGGCTGAATCTGAAGCTCGCTGATAAGGTCAGAGTCTCTCTCTGCAGGCCCCCACCAGCCTGGAGCCCTCTGCAACCTAATGCCTATTGCAGTGACAGCTGTTTGTTCAGTCCTGGGATTACTTTGTTAACACAGGTCACCCATAACACTGCAAGCTTCCTGAGGGCAAGGGCAGAGGCTGCTTTTATACTCTATCGAGTTGGAAGACTAGCTGCACAGTACTGTTTCTCAATGATTCCTATGTAGTAGATACAACATTCACCTAACCATCCATCCATCCTTTCAAGCATCCTTCCATCCACCCACCCATCCCATTCAGGCATTCACTTACCCATCTATCACCCAGCCATCAGTCATCCATCCAAAACGCACCCATCCTGTAGGCAGCCATGTTCACAGAGTACCTAGTCTACTCTGTGGGCTCTTGGGGAAGCATGTTAGCACTGTAGGTAAGAAGGAGTCCACCTCACCTTCTCCAGAAGACTCTTCGGAGTCCTGCATGTCTGGGTCCCACTCTAGGGCTGGCAGATGACCCTGTGCCCTGCGGAAGTCCTCTAGGAGCTCAGGACTGATGGCTTCAGGAAGAGACTGTTTGTTTCCCCAGCCCTGGTCACTTCTTCCATCTGCGTCTTGTTCCTCAGCCCAAGCCCAGCGCCGCCTTCGGGGCCCTTGCCCCAGGCTTGGCCCAGCCCATTGTGTCTTTGTCCCTGAGCTGGCCATGGGACCTGGCCTGGCTTCACCTGGGCCACTTCATCTTCAAGGGACCAAACTGCAGCTGGGGGTCCAAATCACAGGTGGCTCCTCTTAGCACCAGCCATCCCGCCTGTGGCCTGTCGGGGTATAACCAATGGATAATGTCAATCCTCAGAGTCTTCCATCATCCATCCAGGAACCCACCAGCTGGAGCCCCAGAGGCAGGCAGCCCTTTCTGTGTGACCCTGGGTGACTCTCACTTGTCATCAATGAGACAAGGATTCCTTTCCCTCCAGGATATAGGGTAGAGTGCTAGCAGGCAGCACACTGTGCAACAAGTGTCCCCTAAATGCTAGCTCCTGTCACTGCACACCCAGCTCTGTCTGCAGGCACCAGGCACAAGCCCTGTCAGCATTGACTACCCAAGGGAGGGCATGCACAGATTAGCCGGCAGCCACTATCCAGGTGAAAAGGGGTAAGGTTTCCCTGGCAGCAGTCACCCCAAGCCCAGGGAGTCAGGGAAGGCACCACATGGCTTCCTTTGGGCATGGGACACGACTTGAGGTTGAAAGCAGAGAATAGCGAGCTACTTCCAATGCCGAATCTAATGGAAAGCAGGCGTGCAAACAAACACAGCACCACACATGTCCCAGCAACCACGCTCACGACACCCAGGCATCCATGCATCTGCACAGAGAAATGATTTGTGGTCTCTACATAAAACAGAGTATTACTCAGCTGCACAGAGGAATGGGATTACAGCAGATAAAGGAATGAAGTCCCCACATGTGCGACCCTGGATAAACCACCGAAGTGCTATGCCGATTGTGAAAAAGCAGACACAAGAACCCTGTGAGTCTGAGTCCGAGGGTTGCAGTGTGCAGAGGGTGAGTCCAGAGAGGAAGCGGGCCAAGTGATGGCTGCCACAGTGATGTGGGGGAGGGGAGAAGGTCCCTGGCTGCTCAGCAGGCACAGGACTTTTTAAGGGGTGAGGAAAATGTTCTGAAAGCAGAAGAGGCATGATGTAACCATGCGATTATGCTAAGTGCTGCTGAGAGCTTAGTTTCATGTTATATGAATTTTTGCCTTAAAAATAAATAGAAATTACTACACAGTAGGCCAGGGGTCCTGAGAGTACAGAAGATGGGCGACTGACAGCAGGGAGTGCTGGAGGGTGGGGAGGTCAAACTGTGCGAGCTGTTTGTGACTCTCAGGCAGAGAGCCCAGCCAAGGGGCCAAGGAGAAGGAGAGAGAGAGAGCCATTGAGCCAGAGAGCCTGGCCACAGAGAGACTGTGGGAGGGTCCCTGGTAGCAGGGGAGGTGGCTCAAGGAGGGCCCCTCAACCTTCCTCTTCCCCTCATTCTCTCTTTTCCCTTCACACTCTACTTCTGACACTTTGCTGGTATTTCCTGTGTCAATCACCACAGTAAACCCAACAAACTCAGCTTCAGGATAAAGGCACAGGACCTAGGAGCTGCCAGCTACTCGGTTATCAAAGAACTGTGGTTGTCCACACTTAGTTTCTATAAAAGTAGGACAACTGAGTTCCAGAGTAGGAATGGCCTTTCCCAGAGTAGCACAGGAATGAAGACCAGACTCGTGTAGAACCCAGGTTTTTGGTACTGGCGTGGGCTCTTCTATCAAGGCTGGAAAAGGGCCCCAACCTCTAGGGCTGAGCAGTTGGAGCTGTCCTTGAGCCTCTGGGGCTCTTGGACTCTGCTTTCAAAATGTAGTTGGGAAAAGTCACCAGGCAGCTATTTCTAGACTTGGGTCCCCAGAGACAGGGACTGCTTGGGAAAGCCTGGCTTCACAAAGACTAGGCAGCAACATGAGCTAACTCTCCTTTAGCTGTGACTCTGGCTCTGGGGAAAGGGGCTCCTGCCCACCACAGCCAGTCTCCCTGTCCCCCAGCCGGTCCTCCTGTCCCAGTCCCTGTAGAACCCCTAAATTTCCCACATATCTCCACACTGACCCCCACTCTGCCAGGCTATCAGGAAATTTGACAGATACTTGCTTTCAGTAGCAAGACCAAGTGTCAGCGAGAACAGTGACTAACTAGGCCAGGATCCCCTGGTCAGTAAGTAGTATGACTAGAGGTCAGTCCTGGCCTTGGGCTTTTGTTTGCTTAGTAACCACATATCCCCAACAGTAAAAATCTGCATACCTATACCTCTCTGCATACTTCTAACTGCATATCCACATATCCAAATACTACATGTACTAGAAAGAAAATTTTAAAATGAAGCAAAAGAGGGCTGGTGAGATGGTTCAGCAGCTAAAGGAACTTGCTGTCAAGCCTGAAGAACTGAGTTCGATCCCTGGGACCTACATGATTGGAAAGACCTGACTCTCAAACATGCCACGACCTCTACATACGTACATATGGTGACATGTGCACAACAAACACATTGCAATAATTAAATGTAATTTTTTAAAAGGATGAATGGAAAAGTTCTTAAGTTGGGGCTGGAGAGATGGCTCAGTGGGTAAAATGCTGGCCTCAGATCCCTAATGACCCGAATTTGACTCTCCAGAACTCACATAAAAGCTGAATGCAAGCATGTGTAATTCCAGCATGCCCCTACCAGGAGAGGGGAAGCGGACAGAATATTGTCAGCCAACCTAGCATATGCAAGAGTGAGTGAGGGACTGTCTAAAACAAGAAGGCAAGTGAGACTCACACTTCAGGCTGTCTTCTGACCTCTGATGCGTGCAGTGGCACACACATACTGCCCTGATCCCCACCGAATATTGTAAATCTAAGTTCAATATCCTCATTTCCGGACACAGCCTGCACCCCTACATCAAATCCTTGGTGATGGGGGATCCTGACCTTGAATGTGGGTGAGAATTCTCTAAGCACTCGGTCTATGTCTGCAGGATGTCAGAGGCCCTGAGACAAGGCTTTAGAATCATTCTTTAAGCAAGGATCTCAACAGGGCCTCTCCCAGCTTCTGGCTCCCAGTGTGGAGGCCTGGGCAGGTGTGTGGGGTGGGGTGGGGGGGGCACAACCACACCTCCTGACATCTCTGCTGAGGAAGGGTGACGGCATGTGGTTTTCTGACTTTCAAAATGTTATTTTTCCCCCTAGCCCACCACAGAGCAGCCTGCCCCATCACAGAGGCCCCTACGTGCAAAAAGAGGAACGGCCAGTTTTCTGCAATGACTCAGCCACAAAAATCTCACTGTTCTCAGAAGAACCCACACAGCACAGGCAGCAACCATCAGTGGCTACAGTTTTGCACCCATTTCTCAAGTGCCTCAACTTGTGAGCTTTTCCTGAGAAAGATCTTACTCTTCTGTGTAAGCCACAGCCCTCAGTGCCATGGAGCCTGGACCTGGCCAGTCAGGTAGTCAATCAATAAACACACATCAGTGTCAAACATGTACCAACCTCAGGCAGAGATGAAGTTGCAATACAGTAGCAGGCTGAGTACCAGGCAAGCAGATCCCAGGCATGTGGCTGGCTGACTGTTCTCTGTAAAGGGGAACGGTAGTCACCTAGCCTGCTAGTACTGCACCCATCCCTCTGTCTGGTGAGCACTCTGGCCCTCAGAGATACACCAAATGAACTTGGAGGTTCTCAGCCCCCAGGATAAAGAAACAAACACACTTGCCAAGATCCCACCCTCCGTGGAGGACGCAATCCAGAAAAGCCGTGGAAGAAGGAAGTTTGGTGACAGTTTTAACAGACCAAGCAAATCGAGGGGAGAAAGAGGAAGGGGATTCAGGACAGAGGGACAGCACAGACAAAAGGTCTGAAAATACAAGATGAACTTCCAGGAGGGCTCAGGGCCTGGCCCCTGAGTGTCACAGACAGGCAGGAGGTCTGGACAACTGTCAGAGGGCAGCAGTGGATGCTGGGGATACAAACTATGATGTCCTGACCCAGGAGGGCTGGCCGCTCTGTAACTAGGTCCTGCTAATGGTTGGGCCACTGGGCTAAGGGTTCCCACCTGCTCCAGAGAAACTGCACCTCACCCTCCAAACCACCAAACACAGCTTTTTCTATGTCCTTACTTCTTACCACCTGACACCCGTACAGACCTGATCTCCATGTTCTAACACCCTCCAGGGATTCTATTTAGTTCCTGGCTAGGCAATACCCTGTTTTCTACTGCTTCACACAGTTCTCCCCACCCCTCTCCCTGCTTGTGTGTGTGTGTGTGTGTGTGTGTTTGTGTGTGATGTTCCTGTCCTGGGCCATTACAAAGCCTAAGGGCACACCCCTTTACACCACTCAACACACTATGCTCCAGGATGATCCTCCTCCACTGAAGGAGCCCTGGCATTCAAAAGCTCCATGCTATCCAGCCAAGGATAGCCAGGACATCCCCACCTTAACCTCATTCCAATGAGGAAACAGAGGCAGGCACCTAAAAGAACAACCAGGAAGTTTAGAAGAACACTGTGGCTATTAAACCAAGGCCAGGAAATGTGTACGAGGCAGGAAGATGCCAGGGGAAGAACTCCATATCAAGCTGCCAGACCCTTCTAAAGGCTGCGGGGCTCCAAAGCAAATTTGGATCAGTGTCAGGGCATAGACCTGTTCACAGGAGTGGCCTTTGGCTTGCAGCAAGTGGAGATACCCACTACGGATGTCCCCAGACTGCCTCTGACTCACCCAAGCAGCCGGGGAGGAACTAAAAAGGGGCCAGGCTATCACTGACTCTCATCTTGCCCTACTTTAGGTCTAAGCTGGCCTCCTGGCCCCAAGAACATCGACTTTGTCCTTGCCCTTATGTGGATAGGAGATGCTGTCTCCTGGCCTGCTCCTCACTCTGTACACCTCTTGAGACCCTCAGCAACCCAAGCACTAACTGGCCTTGAGATGGAGCCCACCCTGGGCATGGAGAGGGACCAACACTGGTCCAAGTTCAGCAGGGGAACCAAATCAGAGCTGGATCTGGAAACTAGCATCTTGGAGTCCACTCTGGCCTGGGGGCCGGACTCCCAGAACTGGACAGGAGTGGCAGCAGCTGCGTAGCTGTGATTTCCTGGCTAGGCTGGGCTGACTGCCAGGGTTGTCCAGAGAGTCTATGACTGGCCCGTCCAGAGGGAAGGCGGCCTTCCCCTCTGGCCCTCCTCCTGGCTCAGCTCCTTACCTCACTTGCACTACACCGCCATCCTGCCGGCCTGGGCTCAGGGGAGCTGCCCACAAGGTCTTTGTTTCAAACCTAGGGAGCCCCCTGCCTCCACAGCACCCTGGACCGCCTCCAGACTGCTCTGCCAGCCAGAACCGCCTCAGCTCAGAGACAAGCATCGCTCCCCACTTCTCCCCGCCCCTGCAGCTGAGGCCTTGCCCTGCCTCCTCCTCCTCCTTGCAGGAAGCGCCCAGCCTGATTTCCTACAAGTGTTTGTGAAAACGAGGGGGGTTTACTGTGCAGGGCTGGCGACATGAGCTTAACCCTTTGCTGGGCAAATGTGGGGCCTGCCTTGATGGGAAGAACCCACAGGAACTTCCGAGGCCTTGAGTTTGGGACCACCTCAGCTGTAATTCTGTTTGTACCAGCAGGAAGTCCAGAGAAGGCTTAACTAAAGTCACATGGTATGCTGGTCCCAGGAAGAGGAGCCTGCAGTTCCTCCACTCCCTACCCCAAAATTGGTCTCTTCCATCACCAATGATTTTATCAGAGCCTCTCCTCCCACACCAGAGGTCTCATTGCCCATCCTAACGGGAAGAGGGAGCAGAGAAACACAGGACTCAGACTTGGTGCTTGCTCATGTCCTTCCAGCTTTCACTCTAACTAACACAAGTCTCATCATCTCAGGGAGGATTTGGGGATTCTCACCCTTCCACTTACTGTCCACGCCTGGAGACAGATCCACCTGCATTGGAATTTTCTAGGTAACAAGGAAGAACTAGAGGATCAGATGAATATCTCTTCTTGTAGCTTTCCCCATCAGAGGCCCCAGAGATGAAGGAACAGAGTTACATTGATGGTTAACCTGTGGCTCTTCAGGTCCCTTCACTTCTGTGAGAGGTATAATCAGCGGAAGAAGCATGGCTGGACATGGACACACTACACCTGGCTCTTCACTCTATAGTGAAGTGTGTAAGATTTCAGGGATGCCTGAGGCAGAGTATGAGACAGGCTGATGACCAAAGTCCCGAGGCTACTTCCGGTACTTCTGAGGCTGAGGACTTACAGAACCTAGGGCAGCACTTTCTAAGCACCAGAGGTTTCAGGTCCCAGATGCTGGACATGCCCTGGCTGAAGACACCCGGCCTGAGAGTAACAAGCTGAGGAGGTGAGGCAGGACCATCAGGAAGGGCTGGGTGGGGAGGCCACAGTCACACAAGCGACCAGAAGGACAGAAAGGCAGAAGCAAGCCATAAGCATCACTGATGAGAACATTCCAGAAAAACAGTTGCAAAGACCTGAGAGCAGCAGGAGGGCCTTGAAGACAACAGGGGGTGCTGTGAGAGGACTCAGGTGTCAGGGGACAAGGTACAGAATCTGACCTGCAGGGTCCAGGCTGAAGCAGAGTAGCCAAGAGGAAGCAGGTAGAAGAGAAGATGCTGCAGGAATCCGGAGTCTCCTCCTGGCTCCCTACTCTGCCCCTGCTGACCCAGAGAGTCAGGAAACAGAAGAGAGATGAGGTCAATTCTCTGCCATCCAGAAAGCCCTCAGGGGACCTCAAGGGAGCAGCCAGGCTAGGGACCACCCAAGTGTGCTGGAGAGAAGGAATTTTAGAGTGCATAGGCCAGGGAGTTCAATGTCAGCCTCACCTCCTGCTGGCTCTGTGTCCTCAGTAGCTCCACCACCTAGAGCCACAGTCCTTCCTGTGGAGCAGGGCTAAACAGAGTGGCCCCTGCACAGGGGCTGCTGTCAATTCCATGACAGACGGCCTGCCCAGTGTGCAATAGGGGACTTTAGGACTTATTTCATCACCAGTTTCTGCCCTCGGGTCTCTTTAGGTGGGAGAGTCTGGTCTCCTCCAAGGGCTTGTGGTTGATGAATGGAATGAATGAATGCTCTTGAGGGCCAGCTGCCAGGATCTGGCTAAGTCTGAGCTAGCACCAAGCACTTTCAACCGAGTAACCTCCCAACTCCTGCATCCCTGTCCCAGCCTTGTATCCACATCTGGGGGCTGGGGCTCCCCCTGCAGTCCCTCAGGGACTATGGAACATAGCCAAATCTTACCAAGACCCTGCCTCGTGCTCTGGCGACCATGTGGCCCATTGTGTGGGAGGCAGGCTCCCCTAACATCCTGTCACTCAGTCACTCACCCTCCCCATCATTAACCCATCAACACCAGGTGGCTGCCGCAGCTGGCACACCCTCCGCCTTGTTGAAAGACAGCAGCCAGTATTTACTGTCCTTCACCCTGCAACTAGGCCTTTTCCTCCCCACCCCCCACCCCTTTATCCACCCCCCCCCCCATCCAGCCCACATGGTATTCCTTTCTGGAATACCATCCCTCAAGTTTACTCAACCAAAGCCACAGACAAACTGAGCTTGGATCCAGTAGCTTTCCCCAGCTCCCGTCCCCAGCTGAGCCCATCCTTTATTTGGGTTCTCAAGCCAGACTGGGTGGTCCACCTGGCCACTCCCTTCATCATGCAATTCCTCTACTGAGTCCCATTTGCTGCATTTCCTAAACCTCACCAAACTCTGGCTTTGTCTGTCCCCATGTATCTTTCAGAATCTTTCATCTGGAGAAACAGCCCACCCCACAACAGCCTCATGAGATCTTCTCAAACACAAGCTTTCAAACCCAACTGTACACAGGTTTGCCACTTGGAATGCTCTGGTCCCAGCACTAGGACAAACAGAGGCTGTGGCGTGGCCCTGCTCCAGCCTCCTTCCCTCACTCCTTGCCTGCTTCAGTCCCCAGCTCCTCACTGTTCCCAGTAGGGCTTCTCAACGAGCATCTATACTCCCCACTGACTCTGAGCTGCATGCAGACCTGGCTCCTGAACGACCTCCTTGGGACTTGCCATCTGTCCTGATGCTCACCTGTAGCCAGTGTTGGTCTCTTGACTCCTAGAAGAAGGTCTTGAAACTCTCACTACTAAGTCCCTTGTCCCCAGCATGGCTGACAGATGCATTCAGGATCATCCATTGCACCTAGCCAGTTGCCCAGGTAAGTAGTTGCCTGTAGTCCCCAACAGTTATCAAGACTGGTGTGAGGGGCCCATTTCACAGATGAGTACACAAGGCCCCTAGAGCCCACACAACTTGCCCAAGGCCACAACGCTGGTGAACATGGTAGAGACTCAGATACACAAGGACCTGGCTCATGCTCGCCCCGCCCAGGCTGTGGCGATTCTAAAGCCTGCACACAGGGAGCCCAGAGTGGAGCCTAAGGCCTAGGCTACAATTCCTCCTCTGCAAAGGGAAGCCCTGCTCTCCCTTGAGTTTCTCCATTGCTTCCTCATCCTTTGCTTCAGATACAGTTGGAAGTGTGTTTTCCCAGTGCTCAGGGGAGGAAACTGAGGCACAGAAGGGAGATATTAGCTCTCAGCCACCCAGAGAAGAAACCAAAAGTAAGGCTCTGTACCCTGGCCACCAGCCACTGGAGCGTAGCAAGTCTTCTGCCGTTTGTCCCAGACTTGGGTCCAGAAATGCCGCTGGACCTGCCTTGGGTTCTTCTGGAGGCCAGAGGTACAGCAGAGAGCCATGAGCAGCCCAGCCATCTTGAGAGATCAGTGTGAGACACCACAGGAGTGGGGCTGTCATTTCACTGTGACTCTCCTGAGTCCTAGCTCTTCTTTCCTGGGAAGGGTCACTTTCTCTTCCTGCCCAGGAGGCTGACCTTCCAGGTCAAAGAACATAATCCATCAGGACAGGGGCAGGTGTCACAGAGGACCAAGGAGAGTGATGGAAGCCTGGTATGACTCCCAGGTCACCTGGAACACAAGAGGTCTCTCTGAGCTTTGAGCATGTGGCATCAAGAGATGGTCACCAAAATGCTGGACAGACAGCTCAGCAGTTAAGAGCACTTGCTGCTCCTGCAGAGAACCTGGGTTCAGTTCCCAGTGTTTATATGTAAGCACCAGATACACACGCAGAACACATACATACATGCAGACAAAAATACAAAATAAAGAATGAATCGAGAGAGAGAGAGAGAGAGAGAGAGAGAGAGAGAGAGAGAGAGAGAGAGAGGGAGGATATATGTCTGAGGTGCCCAGAGATCCTCTGAGCATTCCGGATTCCATTCCATTTGCCCACCCAGGAAGCCTCACTGTGCTGATGGGTGGGCATGGAGAGAGACCTCCAGGACCCTGGATGCTGAGTGACCTTAGCAAGATCCTTGCTGATAAAGACTCTCCTGGTCTTGGTTACTCATGTGTAAGATGGGGACAGTGTTGACTTTACAAGACTCATGGGATTAGTTAAGAGCGATGGTGTGCACCCTCAGGTGTTGGCCCAGTGCCTTAGCTGGCACAGAGCACCTGCCTGGGAGCAATGGCCTTGACCTCAGTGATGTGGCCACAGAGTGTGCTGCCTGCAGGACTCAGCAAGCTTCCCCTAACATCCAACATCAGCCAAAGCTCTAATTTCAGATCCTCCACACAAAGGGGAGTGAGCCCTCCCAAGTGTGAGGGGTACTATGGCCAGGTGGCTCCCAAACCCATTCTGGGGCCAGAGACCCAGCTAAGAAACACGTGATCATCCTTAGCTATCGAGTGTGTGTGGGGGGGGGATAGGCCATCCTTAGCTAATAAAGACACAGGTTATAAGGAGGCTGTCTTCAACCACGTAGATGGAAATCTCTCTTTCTCTGTGTCTCTGTCTCTCTCTCTCTCCCCACCCCTCTCTTTTATCCCTCCTCTCAAGCTTTTTTCAAAGTAAAATTTTGAACATTCATGTGCCAAGAAGGTATTGCTAGCTGAGGTTTTATTGAGCACCTGCTTCCTGTCAAACACCTTGTCAAAGCTTTTCTAGGAATTAGCTCTCATCACCCACCTTCCACACCAATTCAGGGAGGCAGGGATCCCTTCTCCTGTTTTACAAGTTAGGAAGCAGGTTTTTTCTTTCTTTCCTTTTTTTTTTTTTTTTTACCAGGATGTGTAATCTTAAATTCGTTTGTTACTGAAATATACAGTGAAGAGGTTGGAAGCAATCTCACTGTCCAACAATTGCTGAAATAAGTTATATTTGTGCCCAGCTGGGTGGGGGTAGTGTATACCTTTAATCCCGGCACTCAGGAGGCAGAGGCAGGTGTAAGTTAGAGGCCAGCCTGGTCTACAGAGTGAATTCTAAGACAGCCAGGGCTACACAGAGAAACCCTGTCACGAAATAAAATTATGTTTGTTCTCAAAGGAATAGATTTTAGCTATTATACAAGGGAAGACTCAGAGAGGTTACACACCCTTGCTCA